AAAAAAAAAAAAATCTAACATACCACAAAATGATGGTGATGGTAATAACAGGAGAACAATCTCTGATTTTCTAAAGCTATTTGAAGGAGCAGAAAAAAAAAATTTTTTTTTTAATTCTTTTAATCACTAATAAAATATAGCACCAATTGCCAAAGGTAAAAATATAATTCTATAATTTATTTTCTTTTTTCCAAAGGTGATGTTTGGGCAGGAAGGAGAAAAGGGGCACTTGGTTGTGGATGGACTGAGGGCCCAGGAAGGAAGTTTACCCAGAAATTCCACTGTCAGCCTCCAAGCACCGGTTTACCTGGGATCATCTCCTGCAGGAAAACCAAAGGTAAATAGTTAATCTTTAAAGCCATGGACAAAAACCATTCACCTTATTTCCAATCATAATTATATGAGATATTAAAGAAGCTCAAAATACTTCACATGATTTTTTATATATCCAATTAATGTTCACAAGCCCACAGAGAAGATGCCCATTGATCATTCTAAAGCCTTCATTTTTAAGGTGCAGATTGAGACATAGAGCTTCTCCACAGTTTTATAAACACAAATCTTTTAGCTTCTCTTCCAGGGAACACAAAAACATAGATTTAGGCTGTAGACAGATTTTTTGATTAAAGTTTTGCTACCTGCGTCATCTTTGTCATAGCTGGCTAAGACACTGACCTGATAGTTTGCTTGCCATCAACTCACTACTAAATTCAAATGGGCTTTTACAGGATCATTTTCTCCCACTTGTAAGTAGATACCTGATAGCTTTGCCCTAAATGGGAGGTAGCCATAAAAAATAAGCGTGAAGGCTGGGTGCCTGTAGCACAGTGGTTATGGTGCCAGCCACATACACCAAAGGTGGTTGTGTTAAATTATGGCTCAGCCTGGAGAGTCTGAGCCTGGTTTCAGGTACACGTTCTTCTCTGTGACATGTGACAAATCGAAGCCAATCAGTAGTTCACCACTGACCATTTTCTCTTAAATTTACCCTATCTGACATCTCTCAGTAGAATTCCAGAATTCTGAAATTATTTATGGTAAAGGGACTTTGTGACTTTTATTCAGTGATTCATAAATTTTGGGGGGAATTTTGTGAAATTTATGGTCCTTCTCCCCAGGCCAATGTACATAAGGGAAACAGCTGGTATCTACTATAGGAGAACACAGACTCCCCGAAGTCTGTCCCTGGCCCAGGTGCGGAGCCCTTGATCCAGGCCAGCAGCAGGCAGGCTCGGGGCGCCACCCAAGCCCACTGACAGTGCACGCTGTGGTTTGTATTAACTCGGATGCACTGCACCCAACAACCTGGGGAGATGTTTTGCACTTTATTATTTTTGGAACATTTTGGCCTCTTTCTTCCTGTCAGCTGCCCTGCGTTAAGTTATCACACCGACTCGTGTAACTCTAAGAAAGGGTTTGTACCTGCAAAGAGGCAGCGAGATCCGTGATGTGTAGGGTGGAAATTTCTCCCATTTCAGCTGTGTCTGCGAGGACCAGAGTCAGGTCAGCCCTCCCTGTAGCTATTCCAGCACAAGCTAGAGACCCTCACTGCCTCTGTCCTCCTGCATATGCTCTACTTGGTACGGTGACCCCTTCAAACTTGGACCACCCACCATACATGTGGTATACAGGATTTTCTTGGCACTGAGGGCAGGAAGCAAAATGGACACTCAGGCCCATCTAACTCTGAAGCAGGAAGACTGACACCACTTACCTGCCCCGTTTTGCTGACAAGCTGTAATGTCCTTAACCTTGACTACTCGTGCATTTCTGGACATTGAGGGTAATGAACTCTTTCTTTTCCACTTGGTTGCAGAGCCTCCCTTCAAACAGCTTTGTGGGATGCCTAAAGAACTTTCAGCTGGATTTAAAACCCCTGGAGACCCCTTCCGCAAGCTTTGGGGTATCTCCCTGCTTGGGTGGCTCTTTGGAGAAAGGCACTTATTTCTCCCAAGAAGGAGGTCATGTCATCCTGGGTAAGAAGCTGTTTGGTAGAGTTTATGCCTTTGAGTCTTAAGATCTCTGTCCCCAGCCAAGTGCATGGCTCATGCCTATAATGCTAACACTTTGGGAGGTCAAGGTGAGAGGATTGGTTGAGGCCAGGAGTTTGAGACCAGCTTGACCAACATAATAAGATTCTGTCTCTACAAAATGTAAAAAAATTAACTGAGCATGCTGAGCATGCACCTGTAGTCCCAGCTACTTTGGAGGTTAAGGCAGGAGGAGTGCAAGAATTTGAAGTTGTAGTGAGCTGGGATGACCTCACTATACTCTAGCCCAGGCAAGAGCGCAAGGACCTGTCTCCAGTAAAAAAGAAAGATAGAAAGAAAAGAACTCTATCCTTTTTCTTTTTCTCTAAGTATTGAATTGTGATCCTCTGTTTTTATTTTTGTTTTTCTTCTGAAAGCTAACTCTGTGTTGTTGGGGCCAGAATTCAAGCTTGTTTTCAGCATTCGCCCAAGAAGTCTCACTGGAATCCTAATCCACATCGGAAGTGAACCCGGGAAGCACTTATGTGTTTATATGGAAGCCGGAAAGGTGCATAGGAGTCTGATGACATGGGGGGTGGGGTACGTGGAAGCCGGCTTCCATGTCTGGAGACCATAGCAGATGAAGGTTATAGTAGAGAACGGAGTCCAGTCTTGTATTTAAGGGCTAATTTACCATTGTCCTTTAGCAAGAAATGTTATCATCATGTTTTCTGTTCTTCATCTTTAAAACTGGGAAAACTCGAACAAGTTGGCCTGAATTCCAATTCCACCACTTAATTATATGGCCCTGGGACAGTTACTGAAACTCTTTCAAACTCAGCTTTTCATGTGTAAAATGGAGTTAATAATTCTTACATTTTAAGGCTTTTGTCGAGATCATAGAAACTGCCATCTACTCATTAGATGTTCATTTTTCTCTCCTTCCCTGCACCCTCACCCCCTCTCTACTTTTAAGTACCAGAATTAACAGTTAGATTTTTCACCAGCTGTCCACACCTATGCCATGGCCCTGTGTCCACTGAATCGGTTCTGGGTCCCCTAACTCTGTCTGCACGACTCCTCAGGCTTTGTCCCCAGCAGCTGGACCGGTCCCGGGGCCTCCACCCTGTGCCTTTGGTTTTCCTGGATTCCTTCTTCTGCCTCACTCATCCTGACACTCACAGCTCTGGGTCAAGATCTTATTTTCATCCACCCAGTTAGATCTCTTTCCTTCTCCACAAAGGTTCTTTAAAGTCAGGTTCTTCCAGGAAGACACAGTTAAAGGCCTCAAGTCAGAGAGTGATAATGTCCTGTTTTCTTTCATCTCCATCCTCCCACAGTTTATTAAATGTGAAGGGAAGAAACTAAAATGGTCCTAACTCCTAGAACACTTTTTATTAAAGTTATAGGCTTTAATTAAGTCTGAGCAGACCTCTGGGAGCCCAGAGAAGCAAGCAACCATCTGCTTGCAAAGTTGCTTGAGACAATTCTGGCTTTTCAAAGGGGAGGGGCTGGAGAGGGTTTCCTGTGAAACTCTGTGCAGGAATTATTCTAAAGAAAATAAAATCAAAAAAAAACAAAAAAACCAAAAAAAACAAAATCAAGACCCGATGACCTTCATGACAGCAGTGACATTGCTTAGCTTGAAAATTACCCCTGAATAGGCTGCACCATCTAGCTGCATGCAAATTAAATGTAAATTATTAATAAATGGACTTAGTTTAGTCCTCTCTTTGCATTCTCCTTGATTCAACCCTTAGAAGATTCTGGAGGAGACCCTGACCTAGAAAGTGGGAATGCAGGAGAATTCTGCACAAAACCACTTAGGTGCCTGACTCCTGACGTGTGCCTGACCCCTGACGTGTACCCAGTACAAACACAATCAGTCAACTTGTTCAGTGTCTTGGATAAGAGCCTCTCCATGAGTAATACATCCATGGAATTATAATTGGCTGGCCTTGCAGCAGGGTATGGGTCTCTACCAGAATTTTTGCCTCCCACATTTCACAAGTCTTTCTAAATAGAGCCACTGCCCTGTCTCAATTGTTAAGGAGGCTTCTGCCATGTGGATCAGTAATCTCTGAGTAGGGATGATGGGGGCAGGGTTCACATTAGGAAGGGTAGGCTCATTGCCATTGGCAGCCACTTCAGGGACTGAAGGGGGATCAGTCTCTGATGTGCTCTTAGGTGTCAGTGTGGCCAGGGTTGGGGGGGAAGGTAGCAGAAGAAGTTGGCTCCACTTGCCTTTCTGAAGGAAATGGGAAAATAAATGCTTGTGTGTTCCAGGTCACGGCCTCTGTGGACAGTGGGGCAGGTGGGATCTCAACATCAGTCACACCGAAGCAGTCTCTGTGTGATGGACAGTGGCACTCCGTGGCAGGTATGATGTCTAGTAGCCCTTTATTTGTGCACTAGAACTGGCTCCCTTTACCTCTTGATGTGAATATCCCAAAGGCAGCCTCAGCCCATCTGTCATAGTGCTGACCGGGCCACCATGTCCATTCTCCATTGTGGCCATGCTTGTAGAATTCATGGCTGCTGTCTCCAGTTCCCCCGAACATACTGAGTGCTTTGTTGTTGGTTTGTGGAATAAACTGACAAGCTATGCTAGTTTTCAAAATAATATGGCATTGTGATTTAGATTTTGGCTCTGAAATCAGAAAGAACAGAGGTCATATCTCAGTTCCATCCTGTACTCTGTGTGGCCTTGGGCAAGTTGAATTAATGGCTCTTTACCTTCAGTTTCCCCATCTGTAAAATGGAGATAAAAATGGTATGTATCTTTTAGGATGGTGAAACTTTAAAGGGATAATGTGTGTAAAATACTTAGCACAGCGTCTGATACATGCTTAGTATTCAGGAAGGGTCTGCTCTTACCAGTGTATTGTTAAGGCTTATTTGTGGGTTGTTTTCAAAAACCGTTTAGTGTTAATGCAAACTATCTAGACAAACCAACGAGTAGAGAAGAAGCATTTTCTCTTGGATAGAATCTGTTACTTCATTAATAACTTGTAGATATTAGTTTAGAGAGATATAAACCTGTATTGCCTAAAATATCTTTTGTAAAAAGTGGCCTTTTCTTGGCTACTTTGCAAGTTACCCACATTGCGGTTGCCTAAGTTCCTTACCGTGCTCCCATGGTGGGGTCAAAAGTGCTGTCATTGGCATCAGTTTTCAGAATCAGTTTTCATTGTCTTCTTAGAAGGTAGCTGAGAGCATGTGAAATCGACGTGGCCTCTGGCCACAGAATCCCCCTCTTTCTAGCCGAGCCATCTTGTCAAGCTCGTCAGTGAGCCAGAGTCTCCTATCCCAGAAACAGGAATGACCATGTCTTCCCACAAATTCATTTTATTAAGGATTAAATTCGGTCATGGATGTGGAAGCCCCTAAACCCTGCCTGGTGCTCTGTAGTTAGTGGAATATATATCTAGGCTGAGCCAGTTCCTGTGAGCAGTTCCCACTGGAGGAAGGAGTTAGAATGAAGCCAGTGGTAACACCATAGCATACACATGAAGCAGTAAGCAAGGCTCCTCTCATGTGACAGACCTAACTAGAGTCCTTCCCACCAGTCACCCTGAAACAACACATCCTGCACCTGGAACTGGACACAGACAGTAACTACGTAGCTGGACAGCTGACCCTCCCTCCTGCCGGCACTCAAGAGCCACTGCACCTCGGAGGTGTCCCAGGTAACTCTTGCCCTGACTTCTCCTTCTACGCCCGTGTTGCCCTATGTCAGCTCTGGATATTTTCTTCTTAACCTGACAGATGTGATGCTCTGGCTGATGGGTTAGCAGCAGGGCAGCCCTTGGCTGGACAGTGGAGGGGGGCCCTTATGCTCCAGCATGTGAGGAAACACAACGGCACATTTCACGGCAGTCCAGACCCATGACCACTGCTTCCCCTTGTCCAAGGCCCATAATTTTTTTTTTTAGAGGCTAGAATCTCACTCTGTTGCCCAGGCTAGAATGCAGTGATCATAGCTTACTACAGCCTTAAATTCCTGGGTTGAAGTGATCTTCCTGCCTCAGCCTCCCAATTAGCTGGGCAGTGCCACTGCACCTAGAGGAGCTTTCAGTTTTTGTACAGATGGCATCTTGCTCTGTCACTCAGGCTGGTCTTGAACTCCTGGGCTCAAATGATCCTTTAGCTCAGCCCCCCAGAGTGCTGAGATTATAGGTGTGAGTCACCACACCTGGCCCCAAGCCTATAATTTATAAGCCTTTCTTAAGAGGCTATATTAAATCAGAAGTCTGAAACACGTATCGCAAAGAATCAGGAAAGGAGCTGAAAAAACTGGTCTCTGCTCCCCAGGCAGTTTTGCTGGTGAGTTATTAAGCTTTGTGGGGCCACAATGGGAGAATCAGACAGGTTGAGATGGATGGAGTAGTCAAGTTCAAGACTGGAATTTTGCCTGGAAAGAGCCTTTTCCTTCTCCATTATTTTCTGTCCTTCAGTCTGGTTGTTAATTTTATAGGTCTTTCATGACTCATAAAAAAGCATCAGAATCCACAGTTATCTATTGATTTGGGCTGTGGACTCTCCTCTGAAGAATTTGAAGAGTGAACTCCTGGCTGATTTATCACAGCAAGAGGACCATGGGACGCCTGCTTGAAGTGGAGGAAATGGCTGGGGGCACAGACACAGGGTTCCTTTTGCTCTCTCCTGTGACAATATCTTTTAAGCCCAGGGTGCATTCATTGGACGGTATGAATTATCCATTGATGCTTCTGTCTTTTCTCTTTCAGCCAACTTGAAGACTCTGAAGCTTCCTGTGTGGAAATCATTTTTTGGCTGCCTGAAGAATATTCAAGTCAACCACATCGCTGTCCCTGTCACTGAAGCTGTGGAAGTCCAGGGAGTGGTCAGTCTGAATGGCTGTCCTGACCACTAATTCAAGCCATTTCACGGCAAGGAAATTCACTTTCAGAAGCACTGATTCCCCAATGCACCTCCCTTCCCCACTCAAGTACATTTGGATGCAAGAGACCACCCAGATGGGTTTAATAGAAAACCTAATTTGGAATTCCAACCGCTGACATCCATTCTTTTGGCATTTGGTGCTACATATGTACTTTACATAAAATCCTATTTCTTGAAGAAGATAAATTGTTACTCAAATATGCACAAAACACTTTTGGTAATATTAATTCCCACGAAATATTAAATGTCTTTTAAAGAACATTATTTCCACTTTAAAAATAATTAAATATCTTTTAAAGCACTTTAAGAACATGAAACTTCTACGTGTGTTAAGGGTTCTAATTTATGGGGTTAAATAAATGGAATATGCTACTTATAATATGTTTTATCAGCATGAAACCAATGGCTTGTGGTCGTTGTTAATTGTATTAATACATTTTTTTACCTTTTTTTTTTTGGCACAAGAATGCCAATTTATTCCATTTTTTTTGGACACATGAACACAAAATATCCCTGCAGGCCAAAAAAAAAAAAAATTACAAAATTTAAACGACCATCATCTTACCTCAACACGGGGATATAACCCCTCCCTTAATAGTTTAGAAAGTACCTCGTATTGCTAGACATACATCCCATCCAAATTTAATGAAATACATTTTAAAATGTTACAAGTCTAATAATATTGAAACAAAATCACACCATTAGTAGAATGAACAAACGCAAACATTTTCAACCACTAGACATAGAAAGAGCATGAATATGTCAATAGCAAGGCATAAGAAAATGGTTAATCAATAACAAGACCTTTCCTTTAATTTTACCAGGAAAAATTCTTGGAGTTGTAGCAGTATTGATACAATGCCCTCAGCCTCCACTTTCTTAAAATGAAAGCAGAGCTACCACCTTGCTATTGAGCAAGACAATCTTAACAGCACATCCACAAAAGGTCGCTAGGACAGGGTGGAGAGGGTTAGCCATGTTAAACAGTGGATTACATTTTCCCACATGAAGGGTGGGTAGCTGAGCCAGGTAGGTAAGCTCTGATATAGGCTGGGCACCAGATTCTAAAATACAGACCATATAGAACATGTCTGCTTAAAAATCATCACCTTTGGAAGCAGCAAATAGAATTTACAGTAAGAATGAATATGTTCTGCCTGCCCAGAATGCTGGCTACATTAAACCAGCTAGTTTACTTTATAAACCATTCAGAATTCAACAGCTAACAGTAACAACAACAAAACATAATTGGTTCAACATTTGAGTCTCCACCACTCCCATAATGTCCCCTCTCCTTCTCCTCAAATTGTTACTCTTTAGCATTGCTACCGTTAAATCTTCCACACTACATGACAGTGCCTAAAAAGGCTGTATTAAAATAAAACAAAACCAAAAAACAAAACAAAACAAAAACCAAACAACCTAAAACTACTTCTAGAGAATGCACACCTCCCATTGATTGACACATGCATAACGATTCAGTCAGTCCCGAGGGGGTTACCTATTCAAATTGTCAAACCAAATTAAAGTAAAACTAAGCATTCAGACTTGCTTGCAATAGTATTGCTGCAACTCTGATTCTGCAGTGATTCCCTCTTAAAGATTCACCCCTCAACAAGTTTTTTTCCAATAATCCTAGTTCCCCCATATTCTTTCATTTCTTTCATTCAAAATGACAGCATTGCACCTTTAACGGTACTGTTTTCCTATAAAAATAGGCCTCCCGGCTTTTCATATACCACCATACTGATTTGCCCCAGTGTTCTGGGACCAACTGAGGTCTTACAAATGGTATAGTTCAAGGTCGAGCATAGAGCCCAACTGCAGGCAAGTGAATCAGGGCTTCCAGCACTCCGCCTTGTTCCTGCTTCATACATGCCAGGAGATGGTGAGCATTTTTTTACCTTTTAAAAAATTTTCAGATTAATATAAGGGCACATATGATTAGGTCACATTGTTTGCATTTGTGAGATAAACTCTGAGGTGTAGTTGCATTCCTCGCCCAGGAGGGGCGCCATATACCTGTTAGGTGAGAGCTTACTAACTCTCCTCCCTTCTCCTTCCTTTCCCCTTCTTGAATTTAATTGTATTTTCTCTTGTGTGGGGCTATAGTTGTTCATCTACTAGTTTCAAATAGTATTGAGTACATGGGATGCTTGCTTTTCTATCCTTGAAGCTTCTTGCTCCGGCATATGGGGCCGCTGCCCGACTCCTTTGAGCCACAGGTGCAGCCCATATTTTATTTATTTTTTTTGAGATACAGTCTCACTTTGTTATCCTCTGTAGAAAGCTGTGACATCACAGCTCACAGCAACCTCAAATTCTTGGGCTTAAGCAATTCTTGCCTCAGCCTCCCAAGTAGCTGGGACTACGGGCACCCACCACAAAATAGCTGGGCTCTGTCTCAGGCTGTCTCAAACTCTGAGCTCGGGCAATCCACCTGCCTCAGTCTCCCTGAATGCTAGGATTACAGGCGTGAGCCACCACGTCCAGCCTAAAATAATGATTTTTAAATGAAAAACCCAGCAGGCAATTATCACCCGGGAAATCAGTCTACATGAAAATCAGCCGTTTTACCTGGCTTTGGCAGGGTGACACTAAACGCATTGTTCTCTATTCTGGGTTCCTGGTGTCAGCCTGACTGAATGTAAGGGGTTTCTCATTAGTGCTGACTACCTAGAACTTGCTAGATTCATCATGAAGGGGTAGGTAATTCTTCACTGACTGACACCAGAGGTTTCCTTCATTTTGCGATAGTTTGGAGAATAACTGCCCATCTGCCTTTGCTGTACATAATTCCTGCTACCAGGAAGCAGCAGAGAGAATCTCAGATGAAATAACAGTTGAGGAAACAGTAGGCCCTTCATGTGGCTGTTCTCAGATTGTAACTGCGGGTTCTCTGAAAAGCACGTGTATAGCTCCTCAACTGAACTACCTCGGAAATCATTTGTAAACCGTTAAAGTGCCATACAAATGGTACCACACTTGCCTTCTTGGCTTATAGGCTCATGCAAGTTGGGCCCTGACATCAGAGGAGAGACTAAGTAGGACAGTAGCATCACAGACAGGTGACTGCCCAGTTCACTATGGGTCCACTGTTGGGTCCATGTTGGTCCCAGCAGCAGATGGGGCCCTGGAAACAGCATGTCTCCCTGTGTAGCTGGTGCGTCCAGGACATGGAGTACCCCTTAAATCAATCACGCCCCTTTCAGCACTTCTCAGGGCACTTGTTCTGGGATGTAAATTTATTTATTTTCTTAAGAATAAATTCTTAGAAGTAAAACTACTAAGTCAAAGGATATGAACTTTTTTTATTTTTTTTTTTGAGACGGAGTCTCAAGCTATCCCCCTGGGTAGAGTGCCATGGCATCACAGCTCACAGCAACCTCCAACTCCTGGGCTCAAGCGAGTCTCCTGCCTCTGCCTCCCAAGTAGCTGGGACCACAGGCGCCCGCCACAACGCCCGGCCATTTTTTGGTTGCAGCCATCATTGTTGTTTGGCGGGCCCGGGCTGGGGATTCGAACCCGCCAGCTTAGGTGTACGTGGCTGGCGCCTTAGCTGATTGAGCCACAGGTGCCAAGCCGGATATGAACTTTTTAATGGTGGTGGTTAGAGTTACCAAATTGTTCCCTGATAGTTTATATCCATTTGCACTCAGAATCATTTAAAACTGGCCTTATCCCCTGATGCCACTGCATGTGAGCCCACCAAGGGCTTCCCACCATCTTCAGACAGGCAACAGCAGCCGTCTGACCATGGCAGCTTTTAGAGGTCCTCCACGATGCAGGCTGAGATGCACCTGGAGATGCAGGTTCAGCTGACTGGTATTTGGCTGTGACAGGCAACCCGCCCGACCCCAATGACTTGGGAGAAAGGGCAGTGTGATCATCCATCCTGCAGAACTGGGGCTGAGCCACAGACAGACAGGTTTGCAGGATGAGTTACCCTTGGAGAGCTCCAAACCAGTGCCAAGCCTGGGCCGCGTTTCCAGAATGGAGCAAGCCCCCTTTGAGGGTTTTCAGGGGTGCCAGCCATTTTTTGCTATGCCACAGATTGAAATAATAAGAGTTGCCTTGGGCCACATGCAAAATACACAAACACTAACCTATAGCTGATGAGCAAAACAGAAGTTCCATGTGTACTTTTTAAGATATCGGACACCACAGATAAGCAAAACATGCCTCAAAAGATCAGCGTGGAACCCCAGGTCACAGGTTGGATACCCCCGGAGTGCGCTGAGTTCTCCCAGCAGTGCTGGGCCTCAGGGACAGGTCCAGCCAGTGGCTTCATCCACCTTGGATGTTCTCTTTCATTGAGATTGAAACTTTTGTAAGGATTATCTCAGACAAAATATCCAGAATTTAAATTGGTAAACGCTGGAGTCCCCATCCCTCCCACCCCCCTGCCCCACAGAGAATCCAAAGAGAAATTCTTTCTTCTCAACATGGGTGCTAATAACAGCGGTGGAAAGGGGCAGCTGCTTCTGTTGACAAACGATAGAACTTAATTCTTCATCATGGAAATCGTGCAGCACTATGTCTGCTGCCTAAGAATGGAAAACAGAGACAAAATTGGAATAGGCCTGTTCATCCTCAGGGGTAGGGCTAGAGGGCAGGGTCCCGAGAGGGTGAATACTACTTACTGGAAATGCCTTTTCTCCCTTGCTCGCAAAGGCTTCTATGACCCCAGAATATGAAGTGCGCCCTTCCATTGCCAGAGGTTTTATTTCCATGAATTTTGAATGTGTGGTTTATTTTTACTCTACATCAAGTCCTTGATAAAATGAGAATCGAGAGATTCAGAGGGGAAAGGACCGGAACTTTCTGCAGCACTTGAGGGTCTGCGAATGCACACAGCACAGCACACACTTACGATTAAACGTGGCTCGAAAGGCTTTTGCTTATGAATCAGTAGCTTTAATCCCCTCCTACTCTGAGGCTGTGCATCCCTGGACAGTTAAAATGGATCTGTGTATTGGGGGAGTCACTGGGCATGGTTAGTGGGCTGGGAAATACGTTTCCTCCGAAGTCTATAAAAGTAAAGTCTATATTCTGGAAGATAAGTGACAGCTTATCTACCGTCCAGCCCAGTGCTGTCCCCTTACAATCACATCCTGAACAGCCATGTTTTCCA